GAAAAAAAGAAAAAGAAAACAGCAAAAAATCAGCACATTTTTTGCTGAAGCAAAAGAAACAGAGTATGTGGAAGTTTGGCATGAGAGCTTTATACTGCAGTTTTTCAGACCCTATTTTAACATTAACTTACCTTGTATTTCCATGGTTAGTTTGCCCAGAGATAAGTTTGCATAGCCAGAAAACAGTGCTGTCTGCCGAAATCAGATTTAACTTCTGTGTCCAAGATACTCCAAAATTCAAAAATCTGATTTTTATTTATGATACCTTTAAAAAAAAAAAAAGATAAGCTGAATTGGCTTAGATCTTGAAAATTTGAGTTTTGATTTAAAGTATTTTAAATGTTTTTTCCTAATTATCTAAAACATTCAGCAGAAAGACATGTAGGATAATACTTCAAGATTTTCCTTTTAGAAATGCTGAAGCAATTTCACCAATTGGAAATATTAAAAAAAAAAAAAAAAAACAACTCAACCAAACAACCAAGCCTAAATGAAAATTAATTTGAGAGATTTACCGACAATTTTCACATCAACCATACAGATCTTAAAATGTTTTAATCTTCTCTTGGAAATAAATGGCTTATCAGAAGGTTCTAGTTCTACAGCTAACTTCTGCTTCTTCTCATCCAATGAATACCCACAAGCTTATTTATAAAACCATTTTGGCCACTATTTCAGATATCAGCTCTATGTGTCAGTTCAGCCCCTAACATGATAATGATCCCAGATCCAGTGACATTTGCCTTTCCAACTCTCACGTCTTTTTACCTTCCATCACAGTCTCCACACTTCTTCCCAAATTTAATGTCATTGTATGTAGCAGTCTGTTTTTCTCTCTCTTCCTTGGTTGGATAATAGCACCCAAAGAGTATGATTGTGTCAAAATGAAAGATACGGTCAATGGATTTCCACAGGAATCTGTCTTTCATAAAGGTTTATTCAATCCCTTACTTATGACCTGAATAATGAACTCCATTAAAGTCATGGATTATAAAGAAAGCAGACAGACTGCAAATGCTGCAGAAGCACTTGTGATTCAAAGTTGAATGAACTTGACAAATCATTGTAATGGCCTGGAAAATTGTGATGGGCTTCTACACAGATACATGCAGTGTAGAATGCTTGTGCAGCAATAATCAACTGCAGACATGCAGAAATAGGAATAAAACAATTACTTAGCATGGACAGATGTTGAGCTTCTAATGGACCACCCTCTCGATGCAAGTCAATATGTCAAGAAGCTGGAATGATGGAAAAATACAGCAGCAGGATGTCTGATCAAAGCTGTAAGCCTAGAGGTGTGTGGTCCACGAACATGTGAGATGAAGGAAGGCCTGGAAACAGAAACATGGCAGTGGTAGAATGTGAAAGTGGGATCAGTCTGATTCAGCCAAAAAAAAAGTCTTTGTCCCCTTTAACATTAGATCTGTTGTTGCAGGTTGAGGAGGTAAGCTTTTGAAGATAAAAGGAGAGCTCCTGCTCAGCCTGGGACAACTGATGGAGTACAGCAGGGCCAAACAAGTGGAAGTGACGTAAGGAACAAAGGGTTTATGCTAGCTCACTTTCTTCCTGGACAGATGGTGCCTTCCTTCTGAGGTAGAAAAGATACACTTATTTTAAGAGAGGAAGAAAGATGACTATCTCTACATCTTTGAATTCATGTGTGCTGTCACAGGAAACAAAACCTGCCTGCCTTTTTTGGATGTTATTAAGAGCATAACAGAAGGCCAAAGGCCACTATCTTCCACTCTGATCTTGTAAAACAAAAAAGTTACCAGTGTACTGAGCCCAAAAACTTGTGCTTGAGTAAACTCTCAGTCTGAATTTGAAAATATTAAAATAGAATATTTGTCACTTCCTTCACTTATTCATTCTAACAGTTAAAATTTGAGCTTTATTTCACATCTCACTTTCCATCCAGCATCTAGAGATTGCTTCTTTTACTTCATTTTCTGCTTTAGCTCTGCTTTTTTTCTCCTTGACAAGATGCGCTATACTATTGAGCGTACTGTCAAGGAACATATTTCCTAAATACTGATCCCAGAGCTGGATATCATATTCTACAATTTGTCTAACAATGTCAGTAGTAATCATCTGATAGTAATCAACCGTGTAAATACATCAGGACTTAATTTTAGGTCAACTATTTTGACCTGAACAAGAACATTGTCTATGTCAAAGAAGCTGCCTTATTCTTCAGAGGCATATCCTGCATTATTCTTTCCTAGGTGTTTGGGTTCAGATTTTTTAAAAGTTGTAAAAATTAAAACATATGCACCAAATAAATGTGTTAAGAAAGATAGATAAACAGAAAGATAAACAGATAACTCACTGTTCAAAAAGTTACATCACAGATACAGACCAGTTACATCACAGATAAAGAAAAGCAAATAAATGGGATGATTCTTATTCCCAAAGAATAGAACAGAATTCTGTCTATACAATGCTGAAAGAAAAGAAGAAAGTTGAAGAAAGTGATGTAAGTGGGGGGTCAAGTATACAGTTTATGTGGATATACAAAGATCACTATCCACCCTTCACACTGTAGTAATTCAGAGTAATTAGAAGTAGTATTAAACAGCTTGGAATTAAATCCTATTTTGGTATTTGTGCGATACACACGTCCAATAAAAGCAATCCTATTTCAAGTACTGACATCTTGTCGAGCATATGCTACAAACAGGTACTGTACTCTGTACCTTGGGGGCAGCTGGGGAAGGTTTTCATAATTTGATTTTACAGCAACAATCTTTTCTACACCTCTTCCTGTGTGTAGCTAGATGCACAAACTGTGTAGCCATGTGAGGCAAACTTTTTTTCCCTTGTAAGTTCACATCCTGATAAGTTGATTGGTACAAGCACAGTGAAATCTAAACACCCAGAGTTTTTTGCCTGTATGGATTGTGTCAACCAGGTGTGCACACAGCATCAGGTCTTTCCCCTCCCCTAGCACCAGTGCAATAATTCTCCCATCTGGAAGGCGCGTGAAATAGATGACATTTCAGTCAGTACAACAGGCCAGGCTGTACTCAGGATCATGTCATGTGATTTCACTAAATCCCTTTATAAATAGTATTTGAATATGACTGGCTGACAGTGTAGAATAAGTCCTGCCCTCTTCTACTCTGATTACAAAGGTGTACTCAACAGGGCAGATATACCAATCAAGCAAGTCAGCAACCTAAAACTTTCAACAAACACCATGATCTTTCATTTTGAAGAAAACCTGCACAGAGGACATGGATCTGTGGGTAGTGACCAAAGAGCTATATCACTAGATTTCACATGGATAATAAAAATATGGGCATATAATTCACAGCATTTCTACTTTGTAATGATTTTCTGATGTTAGTTATGATGCTGTTGACTTGCCCACTCTGGCTGCTGTTCAGCACTACACTACCTCTCCTCTGTAGTTATTTTAAGAGGTGCAGAAAAGCTGTGCACAGTAGCTAAGTGCATGTACAGCTGTCATTTTTCTACTCTTTCCTTTGAAAGCAGATGCCATCATGTGACTCATGTTGTGAAATGCTCAGTTAGGTGACCCCATAATTAAATATGGCAAGGCCAGGAGAGAGGGAGACAACTCACCACCCCTATTGCCATCAGAGAGCCATGTCTGCTTTCTCCACAGTGAGCTGTAAGGAAGAGGCACTCTGATAGTAGTAGTTGATGACACTTATGACACTTCACTGCCTTCAAGGATCACCTGGACAATGAAGCAATGCTGTGGGATCTTTGAGTATGCTGCTTTCAACAGTGGAGAAGTGGACTGAGAAGTGGGAACTAAAGTGCTCAGGAAAAATCGCACACCAGCCACCTGGTATGGCTCTGGCCTTACGTTTGCATTTGAACTTCTGACAGTCATTTGGGGATAGCATTCTGACCTCACACACTCTTCCTGCTATAGATTTACACAATAATCTCACAGTCCTCCTGTGCTACTCCTATATAGGATAGCTGGCTGGGATATGGGGTAATGGGAAGCTTACTGTAGTCAAAATGCCTCAGCAGTCTTTGACATGAGAGTATAAATGTATATACCCCAAAACATCCAAGCATGAAAATGGCCAGTACATGGAAAACTCTTAGGAAACAGTCTGTCACAACAGTCAACAGCACAGCTGGGGTACAGTACTGCACTGAGACTGATCCAATGCTACAGGAATACTCCAGGCAACGGCAATGTTGAGTATGGTTTTCAACAGCAACGCCAAAGGATATGGTTGAAGATGATTATAACTCCTGACGTGACAAGAAAAAGTCACTAAGTGGAAGTAGTAATCATCTTAATCTAGAGTGCTGACGTTTTCATCAGGTTTGGTAGTTTGCAGAGGATACAGATTAAAATGCAACAATTTTAATAAGAAAATTTGCTGAAGGATAAACGGATTCAAAAATATTGACGGTAAGGTATTGTCTGTGCAAATGCCAGCTGGGAAATAAGCTGACTACAGTAAAACGTGTCCTAAAAACAGCTAATCAAAATGAAAAAAACGTTGCAGCTGTACATTTGGTCAGAAAAGCAGTTTGAAAAGAAACAGGTGGTAAACTCCATCAACCCCTGTGACCTTCAGACCTTCCTTCGGTCGGCGCTGCCATCCTTACAGGTGCCATATGAATAGCTGTAGTTTCTCCTTTGGTACCTAAAATATTTACAGCTCATGTTCCCATAGACAACTGACTTCCAAGAGATTAGGGATATTTTTTAAGATTGAATGTTGCCTGACACCCGTACTACTTCTGCAAATGGACGGGACTTACTGTAAAGGCTGAAGGAAGGACTCGTCCCGGGTTGCGGTGTCAGGGAGCCCCTCAGCCCTGACAGCAGCTGAACCTGGGAGCGATGTCAAGGAAGAGAGGGGGCAACTCGTCCCCCCTTCCTGTCCTGTGGGGGCTCTGCTGCCCCGATCCTGCCCCCGTCCTGCTCCCAGAGCCCCCGTGCTGCCTCCACGCCGGGGGAAGCCCCGAGGGGCTCCTCGGGCGGCTTTAAGCTTTTATCCGAAGGGGCGAGCGGGGCAGGGGACGCCCCCCACTGTCAGGGGCGGGTGAGGAGCCCGAGCTCGGGGGGCCGAGGCGACGCGGGGGCACTCGCCGGCTGCCGGCGGGGGCTGCGGAGCGGGGCCCGCTGCCTGTCGGGACGCGGCCGCCGAGTGGTGGCGGCGGGGCCGGGCTCGCCCCGTCCCGGCTCGGCTCTGCCCGTCCCGGCGGAGGGCGCGGCCCGTCCCGCCCCCGCGCCGCGCACAGCGCCAGCAGCCGGAGCGGCGGCACCACCTCGGCGGCGGTGGCGGCGGCGCTGGGCCCGGCTCCCCCCTCGCCCTGCGCGCCTCTCTCGCCGCCTTTTCCTGTCTGCATCCTCCCCGGCCCCCCGCCCCCCACCCCCCGCCATTTTCGCCCAGGAGCGGCAGGGCGGCGGGGACTTCCCTGAAACTTCGCGGGGGAACTCGAGCGGCGCCTCCGGGGCGGCCGCTAAAGTTTTCGACCGCGGCGCCCGCCTCTCTGCCCTCCTTCCCCGGGCTCCTCCAGCTCCATCTCCTGCTCCGGCTCCTCCGGCGGGCAGTTCCCGATGAGCGCCCCTCCGCTGCTCCGGCCGCCCAGCCCGCTGCCGCCGCCGGGGGCTGCTGCTGCCGGCGGCGGTGGCGTCGCCTTCCACCTCCAGATCGGGCTGAGCCGGGAGCCGGTGCTGCTGCTGCAGGACTCCTCGGGCGACTTCAGCCTCGCCCACGTCCGGGAAATGGCTTGCTCCATCGTCGACCAGAAGGTAAGGAGAGAGCCCCGAGGGGAGCCCCCGCCCGCCATCCCCCGGGCGCCGCTGGTGGCTGCGAACTTTCCTCTGCCGGCGGGGCTGGGCTCGGCTCCGGGGCACTCGCGGCAACTTCTCGGCGTCTCCTCCTCCTCCTCCGCCGCCGCCGCCGCCTGCCCGGCTCCTTGCCCGGCCCCCGCTCTGCCCCCGCGGCCCCCGGTGCCGGGCGGGATGCTCGGCGCCCGTGTCGGTGGCGCCGCTTGTCGCCGCGCTCAGGGCTGCGGCTCACAACAGCCCCCCGCCGGGGGCGGCGGGGGGGCACAAACCTGTCAGCCGCGAGGGCGCCTTGCGCCTTGTCCCAGCCTCCGCTGGAAGAGGAAACTTTCCACTCAAATTAAAAATAAATAAATAAATGAAAAACAGAGAGAAAGAAAGAGAAAACAACAACCCAACCCCAACAAGGAAAAACCAGCCTAGCGTCCAGAGCGGGAGCACCCCGCGCGCCTCTCCCCGCTCCGGGCGGGGGCAGCAGCGGGACGGGGCCGGGGTCTCCGGCAGAGGCCGGCGCCGCGGGGAGCCCGGTGCTGGCAGGTGGCCGCCGCGCCGCAGGAGGCCGGGGCGCGCCACACTGCGGCGGGGTCGCTGCGGGGGAGGCGGGGAGCGGAGGCAGGCAGGGAGGCAGGCACTTGGTGCTGCTTCTCTGGGCCGGGGGCTGGCATCTGCCCCGAGCCTCCGCTGGCCTCGGGCGTTCCCTGCTTCTCTGTGTTAACAGGCGCGATGCGCGTTGAAGTTTTACTCTCCTCGTGCGAGGGACCGAAGGAAGTGTTACAAAAGAAAACAAAACCAAAAAAACCCCGACCAACCGAAAGCTAGATATCCTGGATAGTTACAATGGAAAAAGTGTGTTGTGTTTTTTTTGTTTGTTTGTTTGTTTGTTTTGTTCCTCCTCTTTCTTTTCACTACTGTAAAATAAATCCAAACAGGATATTTTATTTTTTAAAGTTTTAGGTTTGTTCATAGAGAGCCCGTCCCCTGAACTTCACTAAAAAGTCAATTTTCCCTATTTTGAAGAGCAACTAATTACATATATTCAAAAAAAGTACACAATACACATCTTAACTTCTAAATTTTATGTCTCAGTTGCTGGTTGAGGTGGTTGGTTATCTGCTCTGCTAAATTAAATTCTGAAGAAAGTCATACTTTTTTTTTTTTTTTTAACACCACCATGTTTGCTTTTAGAGCTAGGCCAGAACTTTTTGCTTGGTCGTATACGTCAGGCACAACTTAAATACTGTTAATATTTTGCCATTCGCTTGTTACTATGCTAGCAATAATGAAGACATATCAAGATTGTTGCATGCATTGTTTATGTATTTGTGCTTGAGTGGTTTATTCATTTCATGGACTTACAGTAGGCTTGAGTCTAATCTTTCATGCTTCCTAACAATTTCCTAATTTCCTAACAATGTAGTATTGTCTAAAGAAAACTAAATGCATTGGCTTTTCCTCCAAGAGTCAGGCTTATCTGAGTAAGTACTGACATTAACGTGTTCGACATTTTTATTTGTGTACTGACAATAAAAAAGAGAAAATCATTTAGCTGTTTTTCTATGGAACACACCTGAACGAGGAACTTTCTTCTAGGCACAGTTTCTTAGAGCTCAAATTACTGCTTTTGAAAGGCTGGTGAGAAGAAAGTGACTCAAAGAAAGGGAAAATTGGAAGAGAGGGCCTTCTTAAAAAGAAAAACACTTCTAGATACCACGTATTTTTTATGAGGTAACTCTTTCTGTGTGTTAGAGATTCGTGATTTTTTTTTCCTTTCCTTGAACTTATTTGAAGCACTGCTTGCTCGTGATCTTATGGGAAAGATTGATTTGCTTATCACAGTTAAGCAGGAGACAATACCATTAATAGTGTGAGATTTCACTGAGATCTCACACTATTTCCAAGTTTCCTTGGGTCTGTAAAGTAGGTAGGTGGTGCCTGGCAGGTACCTCTTTTGTCCCAAAGTCACTGTTTAGTCTGGACTGTTTAAGCGGTGTATCAAGATGAGAAGAAGTGACTTTGTTTTTTCTCTTTAGCTTTCCTGTTAGACTGCTAATATCAGCTCTGTCTCTGTGGTTATACTGTTAAACATTCAAGCAGTCCTTTTGCATGCAACTTTATTTATAGGATTGTGCCAGCTTCCCTTCAGTATCAGTGTCAGATGATCTGTTTATAGAGAGCCTCTCCCACGGTAATGTGGGTATACCTGACTGAAGATATTTATGACCCTTACTCTGCACAGATTTATCAGCTAAGTGAACTTAGTGCTTAGTGTGCAGAATTTATATGAAATTGACCTAAGCTTCTAAGAGCGTGCATAGTGGAGCATACGTAAGCTTGAGTGGGGTGTGAATTTGTAGGGTGTGTGTGTTTATATGGGTTGATGTATGCATGTGTATGTAAATATGTAGGAAACCACCATACGTAGATACATCTATATGGTGGTTTTATATATAAATAATATATACTGTACATGTGTGCACAAATATAAGTTTTGCTATGTATAATGTATGTTTATATTTTGAAATAAACATTTTTTTTTGCATACATTTACACTAGTGGACTTGAAACAGCATCTGGGGTACAAAGGTTCAGCTTGCTACTTTTGGTAGAGAATATAATTATATTTATTATCTAATACATAGTATGAAAAATGGAACGAACAAAGAGTCTGTTTTTCTTCTGTTATCCATGAGCCACATTCCTTCAGGATGAAATTGTACCTATCATCCTGAGATAGTTATATAGAAATTTTCATAGAAATTCTAAAGATGAAATGGTATGTGCTAGTTTCAGGCATAAATCCAAACACATTGAAATTTGTTTAAAGACAGCTAAATTACATTTTGTTCCTTTGAGTCTGTGTTTGTTTGTCTTTCTTAGAATCAGTGATGTGAAAACCTTGAGACTTGTTCATGTGGGGTTACTTGTTCTTCGGCTGAGAGGGAATTTTTAACATTTAAAAATGTGGCTAACAAGAAACGAGAATAAAATGAAAAATGTGTGTCAGTGTTCGACTTCTAGGCTGACTCCCCCACAGGATCAGTAGGAGAATATTGTAAAATACAATCTTTGTTTTCTGAAGATAAATAGTTTGAATTATTGCCCTTCTTGGGTTAACTGCACACAATAGAACCACTTATCCATGGCAAAGCACACGACGTAGGAGCACAGCATATTTGTAGTTGTCCAGAATGGTCATGTTATCAAAGACTTTAAATAAAAAAAAGTTATTAGCAAAAGAGAAAAGAACTTACATAAAATTTCCTACACTATTAATACAAAGTGTAAAGTTTGTATTTTCTGTTTGCTGAAATTCTTTGTCACCTTCAGTGACTCACATGCAATGTGTTGGGTTACTGTAGTGGCATTGCCAAGTTCTGAAAACTTTGATTTCTTAAGTAAATATGTGCTAAAAAGTTGTTTGGCATGGAAATACGTGTTTTATAAAATATCCCCTAGACCAGATATTGGCCAGGCCTTCAGCATATGAAGTCAGAGAAATTGCCAAAAATAGCAAATGTTTCTTTTTTTTTTTTTTTTTTTTTTTTTTATTTGAGATCTGCATGGTCTGTGGGTTGCTACCTTATAAGCTTTAGAAACTTGAGGCAGTTTGAATATGGACACAGCTAGGCCGGTATAAGTATTCTTCTGTTTTTTGTGTGTGTTTTCTCTTAAAACAAACACAGAGAAAACAATTTGATCTGAAATGGAAACAAAATTTGATCATTGGCTGTGCATGTTTCAGACTGTTTATAAAAGTACTGTTGTACATGGTTCCCTGGTTTGGTTAGTTCTGAAACTTCACAACAAATAAAAACAGTAATAGTAACAAGTAGGCCATTTCAGGAATGGGGAAGGACAAAAAGAAAAATAAAAGGATGGTTCAAGTGGTATACAGCAAATGGAATACTGTACCCAGATTCATCATCACATAAGGTATTCAGTGTTTAAAGTAAGAGGATAGTCAGAAGTCAAGCAAAGAGCTTTTATATTGTCCTATGAAGAACTGAAATCAAACATCTACGTTTGGGAACAGGTACATATATGTTTGTGCTCCTGGTTGACCTTGATAAAGGAAATCCAACTTATTCTGAAATAAATAAAACAGGAAAACAAATGTAAGCTTAGGTGTATTTTTTTTTTTGTCCCCACCCGGCCAGAATCTCTAAACCTGTGGTCTTAGTGAAGAAAAGAGCTTTTCTGAAGATTGTTTTGAAAATATTCTTAACCTTTTCTGCAAGGGTTTCAAGCAGCCATGAAAAACATATGGATTTTGTTTATATGGATGAAGGTTTTTGTTGTTGTTTTTCCCCCCAAGTTTACAAACTCTCTTGAAATAAACAAGGGCCTGATAGTAATAAAATCATTCCCTTTGGAGCAGGTCAGGGACTCACAGTAAATAGTATCTTAGAAAGAGAGAAAGATTTTTCCCTTCAGGATAAACAGAGGAACTGTGAAAGGTTTTGTCCCACTCTGACCAGAACTCGTATGCTGTTGATTCAACACACGCATGTAGACATTTCGTGTATTCACTACATATTTGGCTGTAGTCACATCATTCGTATGTCTGGGGACAGTTAGTACAGATGTGTGTTTATCTGTTAAAGCTACATTCTCTAGGAGTTTTTGCCTGATGTACACTGATAACAAAATGTTCAACTTCTTGTGATTTCTCTAAACTGAATGCTTCTTTCTGACTGCAAAGAAACAAAGTTGTTAATTTCATTTCAGGAATGTGAGGTGCCTTGTCATTATGCATGTAAACATATTTCAAAGTGAAAGTACTTTTCTAATCTCACCCTTATAAACTCAAGTGAGACTTTTGATGTTTGCTGCTCTATCTTCTATTGACTTTACATTTATTATTCTCCACCCTGGAAACTGTAAGTCAGTGTACGCAATGTTAGTTTGTAGATTCATTAAAATTACATTTGGAGAATGTGTGAGAAAATGCCAGGAAAAGGATA